ATATATATAGGACTTAACAACTTAAAATCTAGAAGGTATCATTATAGTTATAATTATAGCCATATTTCTCACATTAAAAGTCCATTCCTATATTCCTATGTTCATTAGGAAGAATCTGGTAATATTTCAATTTTGTTTTTATCTCTCTCCTTTTTACTAAAAATATAGTTTTTACAATTCTCAATTTCTTCAAGCATATCTCCTAGATTTTTATTTGCATTTAATGTTAAAACTGGTGCTGGTATAGTGAATAATGTCTGATAATAAAGCCATTCATCATGAATATTGTGAAGTTGTTTTAAATGCTCTAATGTTACAGAATTTTCTTCTTTCCTTGCTCTGGTTTGTATTCTTTGATATGCAACTTCTGGAGACGATCTTAAATAAACTGCTTAAACATAACAGTAATAATTAATCACTATCAAATAGTAACGTGTCACTTATTTCATAAATTTAACAGAACATACTTATTAAATCTGTTTCTATATTGACATTTTGTATACACCAATCATGCCAATCTTCTAGAATTTCTATTTCTACGTCAGGTAATAATTTTGTGCGTTTCATGTTTTCTATAAAACATCTTGCACTAAATATTGATCTCTCCATGATTTTGTAAGGCATTGAAGATTTATATACATGAAGTTTTATCATTGTTAAATTCACATAAGATTGAAATAAAAAACTATATCGTTTAGGATCTTTATACATGAGATCCTAAATGTTTAGACAGATATTTATTAGTATCACATGGTTTTTTATATTAGTACAATATTATAGTATTAAAGAAACCTTACCAATAAATTTGTTCCTGCAACATTACGCCAAAGTTCTACTGGTTCTTGTAGAATTGTTACATTGTTAAATTGTTCAAAATTATTCAAGAATGTTGTCTTACCACATCCTATATTACCCTCTATACATATTGTAAATGGCCTTTTATATGATTTATAAATAGAGGTTGATATTTTCTTTAGGACAACTTGAGTTTTGCCTTAAAAATGCAATAAAATATTTTTTAATAGATACAATTATCTTCTCTGTATAAAGAATTTCAAATATATTGGTTATTAAAATACTGTATTAATGTTTTAGATAAATTGAATACACTACGAATTAAAGCACGTAAACCGCACAAATTTGAGTTCAAATCTTATAGATTGGTGAAATCTTTGAAAGAGGGGATAAAAGTGTCCCTTGTTTTTAATAAATAATAGTAGCACAATTTTACATATTTCACGCTATCTTCAATTACGTTGTTTAATATTTAAAGTTACCTATTAAAGTCATGATCGTTAAATTTTTACCATAAAATAATGTTTATATTGTAAAAAATAAGTATTTTTCATTATATTTCTTTAATCCTTTTACAACACGTTTTCGTTCGCAGCTTAACCATTAAATAGTCACATTATAGACTGACATACTAATAGTTACAAGTCTGTAGTCACGTATAATATAAATAGATATATGAGGCATTACACGAATTAAGATATTATTTTATTACATTTATAATCTAAGATATTTAGATATTTAACTACATTATTTCTGTGAAAAAAGAAAATTGTGGATCTAAAATAATTAAAGTTGTTTTATTTCGTCTAGGTATTTGTTATTTATTGATAGAAATAAATACATTTTATTAGCGATATGTATACATAATAAGATGAAGTTAGAGAATAAGAAAGAATGAATTTAAAGTTCATCAAATAGTCAAAATTTATTTATAAAAAGGAAGAACAATCGATAGTTGTGTGTCATATATATTTAGTAGCATGTATATTCCTACATATTTTATCTATCAACAGATATGAGTTTGTTATATGAGATCGTTAATAGTTGTTAGGAAAATGTGATTGACTTACATTTTAAACAATGATTTGACGAAATATTTAATAGCATCATATAAATGTTTTGTACATAAATATTTTTAATATCATATTGTACTTTTTATTATGGTTTTGTAATGATTTCTGCACCTTGCTTTTAAATAAATTTCTAGAAATGATTTAAATAATGTTATGTATTAAACGTACGTGCAACATGTAGTACAGTATTAATTATAAATTATCATTATAATACAGTTTATATACTTTTGGATATAATCGTGAAATATTTGATATTGAAAAGCAAAATTATGAAATAATCCGTTAATTCACAGTTATTTATTTTTTTCGAAATTTCATTATAATTAAAACAATGCGAAATTTTTTGGGCGATGTTGTAATTTGGTGAGTTTCAAATACAGAATTATTCAACCATTAACAGTAATAATAATTAACATTGCATTTGTTTTTTCTTTTTTTCTTTCTTTCTTTCTTTTTTCCTTTCTTTCTTTGTTTCTTTATTTCTTTCTTTCTTTCTTTCTTTCTTTGCTTCTTCCTTTCTTCCTTTCTTCCTTTCTTCCTTTCTTCCTTTCTTCCTTTCTTCTTTTCTTCCTTCCTTTCTTCCTTTTTCCCTTCTTTTCTTCTTTCCTTCTTTCTTTCTTTCTTTCTTTCTTTTTATTAAGAAATATACTGCTAATATATAAACCTTTTGGACAATATTTTTCATTTGTTAAAATAATTTTTTCCGTAGCATATTGCTACTACTTTCAGTGAGCCTTATATTTGGAGCTAGTGAAATTATTAAATCTCTTGTGAATACTGGAGAAAATTTTGTAAAAACATCCTCCTATAATTGGATTATCAAATTATGTTTAAATTTATTGAGTTATGCTACTGTATTATTGCCAGGTTGCCTCATATACAAATATGTGCGTCATACCAAGTATATTCAAAGAGGAGGTAAGTGAAAGGGAATATTAATAAGGTGGAAAGAATTTGTAAAGTTTGTAAAGTTTGAAATTGTATAATTTCTTTGAACAGGCAAAGGGTGCATACCCAAATTAGTACATTTATGCTTCGTGGGTCATTGTGAAACAGGACTATTGGATTCTTCTTCTTATACATCCACGCCATCAAATCATAGCCAACGTACTTTTACACAAGATGCTTTATTACTTCTATATTGTGCTTTTGGACTACAAGTTAGTTATTTAACATGGGGTTACTTACAAGAGAAGATAATGACTCAGGTATAATCTTTTTCCTACACATACATGTATTTATACTTATACAAATGTATTGCTGAAATAAACCTGTGGAAAAATTACACTTTGAATATTTGTGAAGTGATTGCTTGAGAAATTATACAATTAGTTTCAATCACAATCACATGTCACAAACACAAACACATGCTGCTATGATAAAATGCTCAGGTATTAAAACTTTATTAACTTTGAGTTCATTCATCTAACTTTTTTATAAAGCAAAGTTTTGAGTTTACAATGTGTTTTCTTGAACCTTTTTCCTAGATTTTTAATATTGTTTCAAGTTGATATTTCAAGCATAAAATTATTTATTTGTTATAGCTGTGAATGTGTTAGCATGATATGATTTCAGTATGCCCTTTAATTTGGGAGCTAATTAAAACATTTAATGAAAATGGTTAATTTTCAGGAATATGAAGATATTGCTGGCAACAAGGATCGTTTTCAAGATTCACAATTTTTAGTGTTTGTAAATCGGATCCTTGCATTCTTAATGTCAGGATTATATTTAATAATTCAAAGGCAACCACAACATAAAGCACCTCTCTACAAGTATGCATTTTGTTCTTTATCAAACATTATGAGCAGTTGGTGTCAATATGAAGCTTTGAAGTATGTCAGTTTCCCAACACAGGTAATCTCTAGTTTATCATTACATTTTTTATTCCTCAACTCTTTGGAGTTTTGTTTTCAGTTGGGTATTTATATATGTTTCAGGTATTGGCAAAAGCATCAAAAATAATTCCAGTAATGATAATGGGAAAAATAATTTCACATACCACGTATGAATATTACGAATATGTTACAGCTGTACTGATATCTATTGGAATGACATTGTTTATGTTAGATAGCTCGGATTATAAAAACGGTAAACGTTATTTCATTTTTTAAATATAAATCTACCATTTCGTAATTTTTGTAATTATTATTATTCCAATACTTTTAGATGGAGCTACTACTGTGTCTGGTATTATTCTCTTAGGGGGCTATTTATTATTAGATAGTTTTACAAGTACCTGGCAAAATGCATTATTTGTAGAGTATGGCGCAACGAGTGTGCAAATGATGTGTGTAGTTAATATGTTTTCTTGTTTATTAACCGCGATGTCCTTATTTCAACAATCAAGTTTTCCTCTTATATTTTCTTTCATGACAAAGGTGATATTAACTAATCAATATAATTATAGTAATAACATATTATATAATTTTAATGTTTTTATTATTACGCAGTACCCTAGATTTATTGTGGATTGTTCACTTATATCAGTTTGTTCTGCAAGTGGTCAGTTGTACATTTTTTACACAATTTCTAAATTTGGTCCAGTGACATTTGTCATCATGATGACAATACGACAGGTAATCATATTCTTACATGTATTATTGTTATTAAAATATACAGCCTTAGAAGCATTGTTTTCTTTTGTTTTTCAGGGTTTAGCTATATTATTATCCTGTTTAATATATCATCATAAAGTGACAGTTATTGGTATCATTGGTATATTACTAGTATTTGGTTCAGTATTCTTAAGAATATATTGTAATAATCGATTGCGTGCAATAAGAAGACGTAGGGCTGCGGCAAATAGTATAAAAGATTGACTTCGAGAAATCATAGGTACAAAATTTGTGAAACTTTTTATGTTATCTTTTTAAATACATATAAGTTGTATCAAGTATTTCTGATTACAAAAAATGATTAATTCATATTAAATATTGATAATGATATTTAGATGCTATCTATACATATTTTACAAGTACTATAAAAACAATCAGATGTTTTTATATATATAAAATAATTAGATTGAAAAATGCATTAATTATTTAAGAAATATTTATTTTATTATAGACAGAAAATGTCACTTTTACAAAAAAGAGATTAATAAAAGAAAGGTCTGATTATATGATTTATGGTGTACAAAATTAATTTATAGAATTTTAGTTTTATCATCATTAAAAATTAATATTTCTAATATGGAAATTAAGTACACGCACTGATACACACACTTTTAGGTTAAAGCAAGTTTAATTTTTATTAGTGTACAAACATGTACAGTATGATACAATAGAATAAAACTTGGATATAAATGTACATGTTTACTCTTCTGGAGATGAAGGTTTATAAATGGCAATAAGGCACAAGATAGAAATAACTAATTCAGATGCTAAAAGTACCAATTGTATACTGCAAAGAATTACTTCTAATCTGAGTACATAGTTTTGCCAGATTAGAAAGTATAATGTTGCTAAGGAGCTGGGTACAGTTAAAATAACTCCAATAAGAATTGGTAGTCCATGTTCTGTTAAATTTCCTTTCCTTCCAAGATAAATTCTGGCTCCCTCTGTGATTATGAGGAAAAACAAGAGCGCAAACTCTGTCAATGTGGTGTTTGTACCAGGTGAAGGTAGATTTGCAGCCTTGAAAAATCCCATACCCAGTTCACATATGGCAAACATACCGAAATAAAAAGAATTTAGATACATAAGAATTTCGTATGTCAAAGATGAACTGGCTATTGTAGTCATTTTATTAACTCTTTAACAATATTAAAAATCTGTATGTTTATTAGGCTAAGTAATTAATTCATTCTGTTCTGATGTTTAAAGAGGATGCTTTTCCTTATTATCCATTGTACTATTCATTACAGTTCAAATCTTTCTGATCTTATTGCATATTATTTTGTCATTGATTGATTGATTGAATTTCATTTATATTTTTTATTTTTTGGTTGTTGAAATTCATTTTAGTTTCTTTTACAATACTGCAATATTGTTGTCCTTAAGTGTTATGCATGCCTTTATCTTTCAGCTTTCTTTTCGATTATGTTATATACAAATGTAGAATAAAGATTGTAGATTACTTTAATGAATTACTGATAAGAACTGTCTTTAATTGACTATTAATCATGGATAAATCACATTAAGTTTGGTTAGGAAAATATAAACACGAATGAATCTCTTGGAAATAAGATAGTTGTAATTATCAGTTTTCTTGGAAGTTATCGTCTTTCGTTTTGTGTTTTCTTGATTATACATATAATACTTTTATTACGACACCTTAGACATCGAATAAAAGTCTATTTAACAGATATCCATTTTCACAAACGAATGATAGCTCACTTGCAAATATATCGAGCAGTGTTACCAAATGAGGAAATAAGAAATGTATGTAAGTTGATTGTAATTTTTTAATTAATTTGATACAAACACATGTTTGGATTTTCTAGATATATTAGAGTGATTAGAAAGAGAAAAATTTGCATAACTTTTAATATGTGATATTGATTCGTGTTTTAACCGTTATAACTAACGAATAGATTAGTATATCTAAAGGGACGTTTTTATTCAAATATATAATTTGAACTCGAATCGACTAGAGAATAAAGTAATTTAAAAAGAGAATAGATTTGTGGAGATAGTCGATGGGTGGTCATCATGGCAGAGCCGCTATTTGAACATAATTAATGATTAACAATGATTTTTTATTCAAATTTTTCGAGGGTATTTCGTTTGAATAAATTTCTTCAAAGTCAAAGAGAGAAATGGCGAAGAAAAGGATACATAGTTCCGATACAATATCAACGATCGATAACAAGAAGCATTAACCATTTTGAGAGTTCAAAAGGAACAGTTAAGGCTATTTTTATTCTGTCTTACAAGCCTCAGTATCGAAGGCAAATTTATGAACACAATTTATTGGTAAAGGACACGGAATGCGGAAGTTTCTTTAATATCATTTTAATTGTGGCAAGAATTTTCATAATAAGTTCTGTCCTTACTGGATTGGCTGTTGTATATTTTATTACACGTTTTACGCAGAGACACATGTTTCCGATAATCCTTCGGAAAAGTAATTATTCGTCAGTTAAAAAAAAAACATATATTGATTCGTTGTGATTGCAGGTATCGAATTTCTCGGGCCAATTTTTATAAAATTTGGCCAGTGGGCATCTACACGAAAAGATTTATTTCCTAAAGATGTTTGTCATACGCTATCGCAATTACAACAAAGCACTTCAGCACATTCTTGGATTTATACAAAGCAATTGCTCAAAGCTGTATACGGTTCGAATTGGAGAAATATATTTGTAAAATTTGAACACGAGATACCCATTGGATCAGGATGTTGTGCTCAAGTATAAAAATGAAGTTGGAACGAATGAGTTTAATCGGTAGGACATAGTCTATTCGTTCAACTGATTCGATCCTGTCCGATTGATAGGTGTACAAGGCATGGGTGGATCTGAATGCCCCAGTGGACATAACAAGAATACCTCGGATATCTGCATTTATTCAAAGTAAACTATTTAAACACCTGCTTAACACGCTGCATACATTTGCTATTAAACGAGAACGGAAGTTTTCGTAAATTTGAATTTACTTGTATATATCATAAATCTTAAACGAATTTTATTGCAGTTATGGAATATTTAAGATTCGGGTCGTTGATCGCTCTCATTGGTAAATGTAAAAAAAATATAATTAATTTTATTGACTCGCGTTGTGAATATTTAATAAAAAAATAATAAAATAATTTCAGAGAGAACATTGAACGACAAAATTGATGAAGTTCCAAACAATAATGCGTATATTACACGAAAATTGCAACCAGTAGCTGTAAAAATTCTACATCCTGGAATTAAAGGGCAACTAAGGTATGGTATATATTAGGATGAAATGTGAAATAACAACTAATCTTTCTAAATCTCTAGATTGTTTTTCTTTGTCGTTTAATTTAGAAGAGATCTTTCTATAATGAGAGGAATTTGTAAATACGCGACATACGTCATGCCCAAATTGCAATGGCTCAGTCTTACCGACTGCATCGATGAATTTTCCCAAATAATGGAAAATCAAGTAAACTTTTTATATTAATTTCATAAGATAATCCTTGATAATTCGTCGATTCGATCTAGAATATTTTAATCTTCATGATAATTTGTACAAAGGTTGATATGAACTTGGAAGCAGCGAATTTAATTCAATTCGCAAACAATTTCTCCACGAGGAAGGATGTTGTATTTCCGCGGCCTTACACGAATTTTACTCAACGCGAAGTACTCGTGGAAAGTTTTCATGAAGGTTCTTCTATTTCCGTTTATCTCAATGGTCACCATACCAAGTTGCAAGAAAAACTGGCAAAGATAGGGATTAAAACAATCTTAAAGATGGTTGGCAATAACGCAGCCTGTTTACATTATCGGTACGATGTTGATGTATCTTTTAATTACAATTAAAGTTATCGGGAAAATGACAGGTATTTAATGACAACTTCATTCACTGTGACATGCATCCGGGCAATATCTTGGTACAAACAAATTACGAACCAACTGGAAGAATTAGCGCCTGGTTTTGGAAACTTATCAATCATGATTACTTACCGGTTTATCCACGCTTAGTCATACTCGATTGTGGCTTAGTAGTGTCTCTGAACGATCGTTGCCGACAAAATCTTGTGGATGTTTTTCGTTCAGTGCTTATGGGAAATGTATTTACATATATTTATTACCTTCAGTCTTACTTTCACGTTTCAACTCTCCTTCATTTATTGATTTTATTTCAGGGTGAATTGGCGGCGGAATATATCCTGGAACATAGTTCGTGCGTATCCCCTGACCCAGATGGTTTCAAGAGAACAATGAAAGACATCGTAAACTCGCATCTTCAAAGCAGAACTAATGTAGTTTCTAAAAGTTTTTAAAATATACGATATAAAGTATGCGTGACATATGGAATAATAGAGAAAATTGAAAATCCTTCTAAGGGACGCCTTAAAATGTTACAGGTGAACGTAAGCACCGTTGTGACTGAATTGTTTTCCGCGATGGTTCAGCATCGTGTGAAGCAAGACGGAACCTTCAGCAGCGTGATTCTCAGTATGGTAGTGATCGAAGGCCTCGGTCGCAGTCTGGATCCGAATATCGATATCTTCACAGAAGTTATACCGTTTGTTTTTACAACGACAATGTACAATGATTAAATCGCGAAACATTATTTAAAATATTAAAACGCGTTGTTTGTAAGGGAAACAAAGTGTACAAATGTGTTACCAAAACAGTTAAAAAGAGATTTTGGTATTACAGGATTGCAATTATAAGACACGTTCGTACGTTTGAACGTTTTCTTCTTTTTTATTTTACAACACAAAGGAGCTTGTTGAAAAAGTAATGGTACAAGGAAAGAGTTGTTTCATCGAATATATGCGGCAATTTTCATCACTGAATAAGGTACCGCACAAGAAAATTCCCGTTTTAATAACGTGCCATTATACGAATCCCGAGAAAGATTCCAATTTTAACACAGACTACACAGGAACGTGTAATCGCAACGGACAGAATTCCGGCGAGTGACCAGTTGCTCATGATCACTTCCTGGTTGGTCGACCATCTTCGGTACAGCGATATACCACCCGTACATGTGTACGTATGAGCGTAAGTGTTTCACAGCGATGCATGCCGTTGCCTTCGGATTATTCTTTTATACCTTTTGTATATGTATGTCGTAGATACAAGAAGGTTAGTCTTTTGTCATATTGCTGGAAATTTTTGCAAGAATATCAATTATAAATACTATCGTTCTGTATTATTTCGCTGTATTGGGCATAATTTTCCATATATTTAACATCTTATTCTCATCTGTTCATCCTATATGTTTGTCGTCCATTTCGCGAGTCGTTGATTTCGATAATACGCAGCCGTCGTACGAGTTTGTTTTCTATATTCTTGCAATTGGTATTTTTACTCGCATCCGACAGCACGAAATTTTTACTACATTACGTTTGACACGATTTCAGGTGTAGCTTCTATCACATCGAACAGAATTTATCAGGGATTGTCTCGTCGTTTTTCATCGTTTTGAAACACGGTGTTGTCTTATTCGATTTCGTGCAAAACAAGTTTCAATCGATGTTTCAGGCCGCGCGTATCTTCACGCTTTTCACGGTACAGCTACACTTCTTGCCTTGTCAGGTCTAGTTCGATCTTTCCATTCTTTCCGGTTCATTGTCGACGTACGTATATCGAAATAACAATGCATCGACTTTTACACGCATCTATTTACCTTTATCGTTAGCTACGCGATTATTCGGTTGCTCGATTATTATTCGATAGAGCTACGTCATCGTCTCATAACGTCTTTACTTTTCAAAATATTCGTCGTACACGTGTAATACAGGATTATTTGGTTTTTCATGTGTGTGAAAAAGCTTTTGGTTAGGATACAAATGGATTAGACGAAGAGCTTTCCTCTGCTAGGAGAATAAAAAAATAGAAGGAAGAGAATGTTAATTTGGATGTAACCGGTCGTCATGAAATTATCGCGTTTGTTCGTCGACAGAGGCTTGCGACAGGGTATCGCGCCATCTGCCGAACGTGTCGTGATCACTGTAAGCTGGAATCCCCACCAAAGCTACCCCCTCCGTCGAAGATGATCGGACCGTTGCGTCGGACCAGCAAAAGGCACGGGCGAAGCGTGGAAACGGACTACCGAGCAGCAGATAAGAGCTGGTCTCCGAGTGTCCAGCAGAGATGAACGAGTTTCTGTTTTTCGCTAATTGAACGATTCAGTTTTGGTCGAGCGATAATCAAGAAGAACAGAACATCGATGAAAATCATTAGGTTTCCGGTCGAAATTATAGGACGATCGACGGTAGAGCCTCTGCATCTGTCGACTTTTAAACAGATACCGAATAACGGCAATTAGTTTCTATTCGTATTCGGCAGTTTTTATTTTTTCCAAGTCTTGTTTAGTTTCAATTAGCATATACGATACGGCGTTAGCAATAACTAGCAATAGCCGTATAAAAGCTTTTCTATCCTGTTTTACGTTATCCAATCGTTTTAACCCTTTCTTCTTTTCATTCGTTTAGTCCCACTTATATTTCCCGCTTCTTTTTTCCCTTCTCATTCATTCAACGCAAACTCGACCGTTATGCTTTTATTCTATTAGATGGATAGTTTTGCCCTTCCAGTTCAATCGCGCGCTTCTTGTACTTTTCATCGTTCTTTATCTTCTTTTTATTTTTGAAAGTTCTCATATCGAAAGGTAGATTCGTCGATACGACGTATAGCTTTTCAGTGTATGAACATTGTTACGATTATGGTTGATTTTGCTGGCAGCATTTGCAAAACCATCATAGCCCATCACCATCGCCACCATTACCATCGACACCATCAACATCACCATCACCACTACTACCATCGTTACCACCACCACAACCACCATTGCCACCACCACTACTACCGCTACCGCCACCATCACAATCATCTCAACGACGACGACGTTTGGTGTCTCTTTTTAACTGTACTTCAGACTACGCGCACCCTTCGTAAGTACGAGAACGTCTTGTTTTTATCTACCGGTTGATCGTTACCTGTGACACGAACACGCGAATTTAAACAAATCCGTCGAATTTCCGAGCACAAGCGGTTCATCGACATTCGTTGAACGTCATCATTTTGCCGCTACTTCAAATTCATGTAAACAGCAATCATTTAAAGCAAAGTATTACGCGTATGCAGAATAAATAGTGTGAATCGCATCGTGTGAGCACGTGGTTCTAGTGGTAGATCAACGCTTATACCGTGGGAACGAATAATTCGATTATGATGAATCGAAGAAACGTTTACGTTTCCTTAAATCGATGATCGTTATTTAAATGGAGTAAGCATAACGATAAAAATCTGCTTTTTGGAATTTCATTTCTAACGGGCAATCTTATTCGTATGTTCTCTGTAAAAACGCAAATCGCGTCGATTTGCGTTCGTTTTCAGGCGTTTCGATCGCGAGCTTTAGCGAAAAATTAATTGCTATAGCAACGCAAGTAATCAAAGTTTACTGAAGTTCTGCACAGATTAATCGTAGAACTGTAAACTTTAAAGTTTTTCCGTTCGTTTGCTCGCACGGGTGGGATAGCAATTATGACGCGAAGGAAAATTTGTTTATCGATCAGAGAAACGTACGTACGTATCGTTACCGTTAATCCCGCTCGTTACCGAGTTTTTCCGTTGATTTTAGTACGTCGAGGATGCGTACTAGGTGAACAGGGAGACGATGCGAGACATTTCGATTCGAGATTATTCGAGATTAGATTTAATTAGTCGCATGTTTCGCGTAATCGCACCAGTGAACGCGTGTATACGCGTATGTACGACGCGAGAACGTAGATATTCGTAATGTTACAACGGAAATATTATGAAAATATTCGTGAATGTAGATAAATATCGGGCGTATTTATTCGAGAGTAATCAGGCGTAAATATTCAATTGACCGACATATAGGTCGCGCTTAATGAGATAATATGCATTCAACTTTCTCGACTTATTTTTATTACGCGTGTCGAGGAAGAAAATAAAGATTTACGTAACATTCCTTTGGTTTGTTACACGATCGACAACGTCGCGATCTTATTCCATGTATTCTCCATCGAAATACTGTACTTTGTACATTTGGAAGAATCGCACGCACCGGTACTTAACGGTGGCAGTCGTATCATTAACGAGCAGCGAACAACAGTTTACACGATGAAAAATATTTACCAACCAGCGGGCGAACATTGTCGGTTCCATCGCTGCTCCGTGTTTCTTAAATACATATCGTTCAGTGACGGGAATTAACTTGTAATTTATGGAAGACACAGTGCTTTCTTTTTCGAAAACGTTACCAGTTACCGTTCATATTTCTTCGCAATTCGCCATCTTTCGCACTCTTACCGTTCTTCTTTCAACGAGAGATCGTCTTCCAATTTCCGTTTACTGTTAGATCGAATACCGCGCGTTTCATTCCCGTGCAATTAACTATGCATTTAGATATAAGTCTAAATACACCGACGCATCGTCATGGACGCTCGTGTACGAGTTTCTGCTCGGCGAGTAATATGTCATCGGAAACGGGATGATTTCCTTCTAGGAGGATTTCAACTTTTCCTCATCTCGTAGCTAACGTCGATTATAACTTTGATCGAGTAATTCGGAAATTAGTGGTCGGGAACGAGAAATAGTGGCGAAAAGAAGGAAAAGATAGATCTGTTCCGAGTCCATCTGTCGATGATATCGATTGCACGATCGCAAAATTATAGACAGCGACGAAGCGTGGGTAAAATTGGCGGAAAAAGAGGTAATCGTTTGGTTGATGATTTTTCGTAATCCGAGGGAAACGGAGTTACGTGATTGGACGAAGATTCGTAATCGGCGCGTAATCGGCGGGTTTTCGTTACGCGAGACATAGAGAAACCGACGAGCGTACAAGTTACGTATCGTATCGCAATGGGGGACGGGTATTTAAGCATTTTCTCCTCGATCCGTGTAACAGCTTCGAGATTAGCGAGTCAAAGAGAGAGCAGGGTCATCGTGACAACACGTGTTATCAGTGCACTGCAAATAGAAGAAACTGCCGGTCCGTAAATAACACTGGGACAGTCAGTTAACCTCGAATGGACTCGGAGAAGCGGTGGTGCGTCATTTTTTCGCTAACGGCCAGTTCGATTTATCGTAATCCGCGCTCCTTCCGCGAGCGGTACTAGCACGCGGTTCGCTTCTAGATCGAAGCGTAACAAGCTCTCTCTCTCTATCAGTTTCCTGTTTCGCGATCGTTCTCCATAGACCGGTCGAACGAATCCCCTACCTATCTAGGATCTAAGAGTTTTACGTCGAGTCACAACCACTAGCTCGTATTTTATGCGGCGCGGTTGGTCGTCGCATCGCGGGTAGTTGCGTGCGAAGTAGCATTTTTCCAGCCAATCTTTTCGACCAGCCGCGCACACGGTTACGCGAAAATATATAGACGTAATCGTGCGTAGCCAGTGGTGTATACGCGTGTGTCGAGCTCGCGCCCGTTCTCGATATATCCCTTTATCGTCGAGATAACGAACGACTGTGAAAATAATAATTGTTTGTCGAGTTGAGTAGAGTCGAGTCGAAAGTTAAAGACTCGATCGTGGTACTTTTCGCGATGTTTACTTTCCGCTTAGCGATCGGTATCTCGCGACTATAAAAATTTCGAGGATTCGGAACCGCCTGACCAAATAGCGATCCAGTTTGTCGGCGGCAAATAGTCGCGAGGGATATTCGTAAGTGGAAATTTTCTTCTCGTTTCCGTAGGAGTTTCGAGATGTTACTTTCGAGTGTTTGGTTCGAAGTAATCGCGGCAGCCCTATTGACGATATTGATCTTCGCTACTAGCCATCGGCCAGCTTGGTGGTTCTGGACCGGGGCATCTCACAAAACCAGCGGTAAGTTTCTCCGTGAGTGATAAATCTTGCGTTTCGCATTGTGAAAGTAAATTAGTAGGTGTCGCGCGCGCGCGCGCGTGTAACGCTAGTTGGAAGGAAAAGAATTAGGAGGAGCGGTGCACGTGCTCGTGGAAGAATGGCGCGCGCGTTTTCTTTCCTCGACGTGGCGCGATGCGTTCACGAGGCTGTGTGCACGAGTCGGAAAGGTCGACAGAAAATTATTACGTTTCGTGTATACGAACGACCTTCGATACGAAGCGACGACGTGCGTTCGTATATACGGGGTCACGGTCCCCTTTCTAAGCTCGAACCTCGTGCTTCGATGTTGCGTCCTTGCCGCGTTGACCTTGCCCGTCCGTCTTGAACCGCGGTGAAATTGTTCGCTCCACGCTTGCGACGTAACAGCGTCGACAGTCCCGTTGGAATGCTTAGAGAAAATCGCTCCCTTTCGCGAATCCGTTTTCGTCCGATCGTTCACGTTTTTCCACCATGTTTGACAGCCCCGGTCGAGGAGAAGCACGATAGAAAGTTTGAAACGGTGTCCAACGTGCCAGGACCGTATCCTTTACCGATTCTTGGAACCAGGTGGATATTCTCCTGCATCGGTTACTATAAACTCAACAAGATTCACGACGCTTACAAAGGTAAGAAGTTTGCCCTTGGTCTATACGTATCTACGCGCGAGTGTAAGTACCTACTCAGCGCCGTTTCCGTTAACGGAACTTTCCTCGAATTTCGATCGAAACAGACTACGTCGGCAGAAGGCGTTACACGGATTTTTAACATAGCGAATGGTTTCTCATTTAAGAATAGATTTGAACCAACGATACGGAGCGTTGTGTAAAGAAGAAGCATTATGGAACTTTCCCGTGATCTCTGTGTTCTCCCGTCAGGATATCGAAGCTATCCTTCGACGGAACTGCAAGTATCCGCTTCGTCCTCCGCAAGAGGTGATATCCTACTATCGGCAAACACGGCACGATCGTTACACGAACCTCGGTTTGGTGAACGAGTGAGTAGATTTCGTTTAACGACAGGGTGGGTCGGTGCGTCGCGTACACGCGTAATTTCATGGCAATGCCATGGGGCAAATCGTTTGGCTGCGAAAAGGGAAAATTCACGGTGAACTTCTTTTTCGTAGAAGCATTTAAAGTCGTAAAGTGCAGGCATAACAGATTGATGTAAGGAACGAGAAGGACGCGGTCAATTTAAACGAACGAATAATTCGATAGACAGGGACAAACGTGGCACGATCTTCGGACAGCTCTTACGTCAGAACTGACGGGGGCCAGTACCGTCCTTGGCTTCTTCCCGGCTCTGAATGTCGTCGCAGATTCGTTCATCGAGTTGATTCGTCGACGAAGAACGGGATATAAAGTGACAGGTTTCGAGGAGCTTGCCTACAAGATGGGACTCGAGAGTAAGATCCGTTTTATCGGTAGATCTGAAACCATTCTGCGCCATCTCACCTTACGCATCGTTTTTTTTTTTTCTGTTCCGTTTCGCTCTAGGTACCTGTACTTTGATCTTGGGTCGACACTTGGGTTTCCTAAAGCCAGATTCCAGCAGCGAGCTCGCTGTGAGATTAGCGGAAGCCGTCAGGGTACACTTTACGGCCTCGCGGGACGCCTTTTACGGGTTGCCGCTTTGGAAATTATTACCAACCTCCGCGTACAAACAACTGATAGAGAGCGAGGACGCCATATACAAGTATGTTCGAGGTGGTGTCGAACGAACGGATTGAAAATTCGATGGGCCGTACAACGATTACGCGTTTCACGTTATACAAGTTGCTCGCTTTCAGTATCATTTCGGAGATCGTCGAAGCCACGATATTGGAGAAACGAGACGATGCTAGGGACGAATCGGTCGAGGCTGTACTTCAATCCATTTTAAAACAAAAGCATCTCGATATACGCGACAAGAAGGCGGCTATCGTTGATTTTATAGCTGCCGGTATACACACGGTGAGGATGATATTTACGCGATGCTGCGTGATTTCTTGCATCTCCACCTTTTCGCGTCACGCCATTACGTTTTCTATCACTTTGCATGCTTTCCTTCGATTCTGCACAGCTAGGAAACACTTTGGTGTTTCTCTTTCACTTGATCGGCCGTAATCCAAGCGTACAGGCCAAACTTTACGAAGAAACCTACTCGTTGGCTCCGGCTGGTTGTGATTTGACTATAGATAATTTGCGACAAGCCAAATATTTGCGCGCCTGTATCACCGAATCTTTCCGGTGCGTAAAACGCGTCGAGCGTTTCTTTTCCGAAGCAAAATTTTCTAAGCCACTCGAGGCTACTTCTAATGACTGCTATGTTTCGTATTTAGAATGATCCCAACCACCACTTGTATAGCTCGAATTTTGGACGAACCCATCGAACTCAGTGGTTATCGCTTCACCGCGGGAGTGAGTAAAAGTTACATCGCTTCTTTCTTCTTTCTTTTTTCCTTATACATATTATTAAAAATTTATCGTTTCTTTTAGACCACGGTCCTTTTACACACTTGGATAGCAGGTTTGAACGAAAAGAATTTCAAGAATGCCGGAAAGTATTTGCCCGAGAGATGGTTGACGCCTGTCAGTCCTCATTCTCCATTATTAGTGGCGCCATTTGGAGCTGGAAGGAGAATATGCCCGGGCAAACGGTTCGTGGAACTCGCGCTACAGCTCATTTTGGCAAAGGTCTGTTTTCCCTCTACGATACATCCCAAAACACGTGTATCGCGTCTTTATAGGCTTAACTGTTCTTCCACAGATCGTACGGGAGTTCGAGATCATCGTGGACGAAGAACTCGATTTGCAATTTGAATTTATCCTCGCACCGAAGGGTCCGGTACTTCTTGGTTTTCGTGATCGTTCTTAGGAAACCTAACGAACCGGACATTTGTCTGCACCATTATTCAAGTCCATTTATAGCCTTCATCCTTTCGTTGCCGATCGTTGTTTCATCTCCGTAGCCCGTTCGTAAAATAATTTACTCGTTGCGTGTAATTTCTGTTTGTTTCATTTGCAATACTCATCGTTGTTGTAAGCACTATACGGATACATCCTAATATATTTAATCGCATACGCGTGTACTTGGAGTCGTCTTATCTTTCGACCATTTGCATGTTTCAACGTTTTCACGAATTTTTCCTACATCGTATATTTTGGGTAAAAATAAGATGATTCCGAATACGATCGTTTTCTACGTTATGCGATACACCGAGTTTACGTTTATTACGTATACGACAAACGTTTGCAGTCATTTGACTAACCAACGACTGCGATAGTTTGAACATCGCGAAATTAAGTAGCGATATGTTACTCGTTAGACCGTTCCTCGAAACAATAAATAAATTCGGATCAACGATAGAAAATCCATGTAAATAAAACGTATGGATATCGCGAGTTTAATCGTTGTTGTTGATTTCGATCACCGTCCGATCATTCGTTCCATTCTACGCGGCTGTTGAATCATTTCGCAAACACGATGTTGATGTAAATTACTCTCGTTTTATTCGTTCCTAGGTTTGTCCATTTCTCATGACTTATTGCACAGAATTTTAGTAAGATTCTTTTGCTTAAATAGGATATCGTTGTTTCGCTTCGATATTAAATCTCCTTGTCGAATGGAATTACGTGATATTTATTTATTCGTTTTTCTTCTCTTTTGTAATTATTAGTAATTTCATATGGTACATATGCATGCAATTGTATTCGAAAGGACTGGAAGTAATTACCCGATACATTGGCTAAAACGACATAAATTATAGGATACTCGGTGCAATTTTTGCAGTATCGGTACGCAGTACGGTATAAATTATTCCTTGCATTACTTCGTTGCTCGCAATTCGACAGCGACTACTCGAACTACAAACGTATTTAATTTATTTGCCTTTCACGCGATGCGAATAACCTTACATTTCGACGAACGCGGTTCTCCAGTTGCAGAACATTTCTGCAAAACGTAATGCCACATGTGATATATTTTCCATAGTTCTCATTTAACGAACTGGGGATCGTCAGCGATATACGATCGGTACTTTACAATATTTCTTCTATCTCTGAATTTTTTATGACGTAATAACCGTTTTTGGCGTAGAAATTGCCATATAGTTACAGAGTCATCCTGAAAATTTCCACCTCCTTGCAATCGTTCACGTAAAGTAATACAACGGTGCTGGAATTCAATGCTTTCCTTCTACACAAGCACCACTATGTTACGAGATGTACGGGTGTTTGTATTACGCGTATAAAAATTCAATTGACTTGGCCCGATTTTCAATAACTTTTAAATAATCTTAACGCGACCATGTCGCTGTCACTGCACCCTTGACGCTGAGTAATCTTTAAACGACCTCGAAGTGACGATCATGGCGAACGATTTAAAAGTCACGCGTACATTTCGAAGCATTTAAAGATAAACGTGTTACGAGAAAACAGTATCGCCGATAACTATCGACGAGACTGAGTTACTCGGCGTTGAGCGATTTCTTTTCGTCGGAGTCGTTACTTGACCAAACTTTTGATGCTTCTGGGTAGATTCGGAATAGAACCTTTGTTAACACTCGCAGCCGTCGGTCTCATAAAACTGTGATTTCTGGTTCCGGCTCTCGGATGAATCAACTTACTTTTCGTAGTCGATGATGATACCTTCTCAACGTTGGTCCGATTTAGCGATAACGATTGTGGTCCCATACTACTACCGCTTCCGCTGCTGCTGCTTCGCGAAGCGATCGTCCGCCCTTTGTTTCCTTTTTGCACGTCCGTGGTCGACTAAAAACATGGAAATTCGTCGCTAGGCACGACTGTTTCTGCTATAAACGGGTGAAGGCCAATTTGCGATACACGGGCCAAACTGAGTAGATAAAGTGAAATATTTGAAAAGACGAAAACTCACCCCGAGAGATTTACGGACGTTTCGAGCGGTTGGACCCACGCTGCTTCCGCTGCTACTGCTTCTGCTGGCAGGTATTCTAGTGACTACCGCGCGTGGATTCGTTCGACGTTTCTCGTTACTTTTTGGTGGTAACGGACTATGCGACGGACTCTTTCGCAGATCGTTGGTTAACGCGCAAATCGCGGACGTGTAAGTACGGAGAGGCGCGTGGTTCGGAACTAAATTTCGCACGGTGTTCACAGACGTAGCGCTATTCAAGGAACTTCGCGAACTGCGAAGGCTGCTTCTCGATCCTGAACGTTCTACCTCGTTCTTCGTTTGATTGTTGCTTAATTGATAAGTCAAGTTCGAATTTCGTTGCATAGACTCGGCTTTTCTGACAGCAGCGTCACGCTTCAAACTGTTTGTTCGTTTCGGAAGAAAGCTGGATTTCTCTGCGACGTGTTTCATCGAGGTGGCTCGTTTCTCGAACCCTTTGATCGCTGACGAAGACGACGAGGCCGATGACGTCGATTTTAACGTATTCGCGATCGATTTCCTGGGACTGTGGTCAGGCACTTCGACACCGATGATATCGCGAATGGGAGGGTGGCTATCGGTTCCGGCATAGCGTAATTCGGCTGGCGAGCATCGCGTCGAGTCGTGAGTGTCCGTCTCGTAGTTTCCAGAAGATGTTTCTTGACTAAGTGTTTCGGACACCAAACTTTGCGTTTCCTCGAATCCTTCGTCGTTCATCTCTTGATCTCGAACTTTTCCAGATGGGGTTAATAGGGAGAAGGAGGAGGAAGTGGAATTGGAGTTAGAGTTGGCGCTGGACGAGGTGACATTTATATCAGGTGGCACGAATCTAGGATGAAACACGGAGCCATCCGCGTTGGACTGCAAGGCTTGCATCTTGCTTTGGTTTCGCACAGTCGATTCGGATCGTTTATCGTGATTAATATCGCTACCGGAATCGTTTACTTGGCAACGATTCGAATCGGTGGCTAGATCGATTTCATCGTCGGTAGGTTCGTTCAGTGCGGAAGGTCGAGGTTGATTTCGAGATCGCGAGGAGACGTTTTGACTTTCGTTTACCTGACTTGGCGGACTGTTGGTCAATCTGATCGCTTCTTTTACCTGACTAGGATCGATCATGCTTCTTTGTCGTTCGCGGCTGCTCACAGCTCTCTCAGCGAGTACGGTTAGGGACGGTTCCCTGGGGCGAGACTCTTGCATTACGGGGCTGAGAACGGTGTTCGTTACAGCGACGACAGCCGATGGTTGACTGACCGGAAGTCGCGAGTTTCGGTGCGTTAATGGCCGCGACAGTCGTTGAAGATCCTCGCCGGAGCGTGCGATTTCTGCCAGTGCCGCGTCGATATCGAGGGAACTCGACGATCCTCGCTGCTTTGATTTCTCTTGCCAAACAGACAGCATGGAACCTTCGCCGCACCCCTCTTCGGACAGTGGCAGAGTCTGCGGACGTTCAGCCGGTTTCTCCTCGAACGACTCAGGACCGGCAACCTCCTGTTGCTTCGACTCTTTCTCTGCCGAGTCTTGGTTCTTCTTGTATCTTCGCGTTCTCCTTGCCGCAGAGTAACGATCGAAATTACCTGAAATGATCGGTGTACGCGTCACGTACTCGCGATGGTAACATCGTTGAGGAGTGTAAGTAACGAGATGCGTTATGCGACCTACCTGTCCCGAAGTCTGCGTTATTTGCATTCTTCGCCGTCGAATTCTTGAAATCTCTGCTTTGGAAAGAACCGTTGCAACGTTCCCTTTTGCACGGTTCTTTCTCAACCGGCTTCACTTCTTTCGGTGGACTGAATAGCTTCCTAGTTGCCGGTGGTGTTTCTATATTATCGGAATCGATCTCTATTTTGTCGATCATTTTCTCTTCGTCCGTGCCCTTCTTGAGCTTTGAAAATCTTCGTGATCCAGCGAGCTGAGAATCGCCGTAAGGTTGCCGTAAATATATCGTTAATTCATCCTGAGTACCCGAGCTCGCGATATCATTGATCTTGTTCTTTTTCCTCTCTTCCTCTTTGATGGACTGTAACGAAAAGGAAGAAGCGAAACATTGTTTCTGTTCCTCGGAGGGAGGATAAGTAACCGAAATCCGGTTGTCGAGATATATTAACCTGCAAGGTGCTCGAAGTTAAAACGTTCTCTGCGCTGAGTCTGGATCTTAGCCTACGGGAATAACGCGGGTCAGTCTCTTCCATGCTATTTGGTACGTTTAGGCTTGATTTTCGCCACGGAGATTTATCCTTCTGCGATGGTTGCGTTTCGGCTTCTAGAATTCAAATTCGTATTCGATTTATGACAGACATATACGTAAACGTATATGTAATAAAGATCGGTTATTGCTAAATATGGTAAAAGACAGTAGAAGGGATAACCTTCGATAGCTTCCATCGTACGCATCACGTCTGTCTTCTCGACAGACGGACGCCAGTCGTAAACTTCGGAGTATGATTCACGCGTGGAACCACTTTCGACCTGAGTATTCGTCTTGCCTTCGCTTTCTGCGCATGAAATCGACGAGGGTCAATTTAGAAGAGACACGTTGTATCGTTCGATGAACAAAGTACGTTCGTATATAGACGTGTCTTTATATTTACCCGAGTCTTCGTAGGACCGTCGATTCGCGTGATGCAACTGTCTCGCTTTCCTTTGAAGTTCTTCGCCTGCACGATCTTCCTTTTCGTTCTCCGATAACCACGCCTCGATTTTTTGCCGCCATGCTTTCCTGTTTCCAATAAACGTTCGACACAGTCACGTCGAGATTAGCTCGTCGTGGTCACTTACCCTGCAGGTTTCGTTTCTTCCTCTTGCAAGAAAGGCTTGTTCTCGATTAAAGGTGACGGAGAACTCGGTCTTTCGCGATCACCCGAGATATCCGCGTTTAACAGGTCACTTCTGCGACCTGACTGACCGCGAGCTCTTCTCGCCCACGAGCGATCTGCTCGTTGATCGGCGGAAAAAAGAATCAGATAAAAGAATAACGTTCGCGAAGTGCTTTTTTATAGCGAGATATTTGGTTAGGTATACCTAAGCTACCCCAGGATTTTCTCTCACGACTACCGTCTTGTCCCGACGTCCTTAAAAAGTCCATCAGATTACCGTCGTCATCTTCGCAAGGTATTCGACTTCTTCGACGACGAAGCGTGCCGTTCGGTGTGACGTCTGTGAACGTGCGAGAAAAAGAACAGTAGGAAAAAATAGAGTCGCGTTCGAAATTAATCGCGGTTAAGGAGTAAAACCTGGTGAATATGTTTCTTCTTTGGTAGATTGTTGATCGACGATTCCACCGGAACATGAACCTAAGCGTCGTCGAATATTCGGTGATCCGGTTATCGAGACATCTTCATCGGAGGTGACACCACCGTTTTGCAATCTTTTGATCTAAATTGAAGGAAAGTATAAGACGAAATAATCATGGCACAACGTACTAGGTGATACGATCAAACAGCTGGAAATGGTATACACCTTGACGTCACTTCGACCGTAATTCCTTTGAGGTAAACCGCTGGCAAGATCGAAAGGATCGTAAGTGATTAAATTGCATTCGGATTCAGAGGTTGGCGCTTCGACTTGTTGGTTGTTGGTCACTGTAACATACGCGTAAAATAGCGCGACGGCGAAGTTAATTGAAAAAGTACAGTGAAAATAAAGCTAATGCAGAGGTAAACTAAGATTAAAATAGAGGTATGGACGTAAGAGAGGATGAAACTGTTGTCATATACGATGACGTACGTAATCGTTTTTTAGCCAAGAGTTGTTCTTCTCGTTGCTTGCGCCTTGCCAATACTTGTTCCTCTTGAATTCTACGTCTCTCGTTTTCCGCGACAGCCTGATTGAATTTTTGACAAAACTGATGGAATACCTTGAAGCATTCCTCGATTTTGAACGTATTGCTGTCTTCGCAGAAAAATTCAGCGAGCGATCGCCTTAAGGTTTCGAGTTCTTCCATGTCTCGTTTTAATTGACACATCTCTTGTTCGGCTATCTACGACACGAGAGCAAGATTAACAGGAAATTTCTCGAAATTTCCTTCCATTTCCTAACGTTTTCCTCCTTTTTCCTTTTTGCTTGCTTTACCAACCAAGTAGTAATCATTAAAGACGCGATACCTGTAAAAATTGTGCCATCTGTTCCTGAATGTCGGTTTCCGTCGAAGGAAAATTAATCTGTGCCTTGATCTTTTTGATCTTTGTGTCGAGTGCGTTAAATTCGTTGTTTAATTGCTCCGTTGTGGTCCTGTGTACCACGAACACACGCACACACGACAAAGGATAAAAGAGAGAACGTTTTAGGCGTTGTTTAAATCGATTAAATTAGTTTCGGGAGAGCACTTACTTCGTGGCAGCTTCCAGAGTGGTCATACTCTTGGCGAAATCCAACAAATCCTTCCTCTTTCTTTCGGCTTGCTACGGTGCGAAACAAACGGTTCGAGCATGAACCAGAAGAGATACGCGCAACCAAACGAACACGAAAGATATACGTTACCAAAGCTACGTAATGTATAAGATTCATTCCTGGTTTATTCGCCCTGATCTCGGTTAATTTTTGCAAAGAAGACAACTTTACTCCGGCAGCGTTCCCAGCGTAACCACCCTACGACGTTACTCTTAATTACGTATTCGTATTTACGCGTTGGCTCTTCGCACGAGCATAGTTTCATTCTATTCGTACCGAATTGAGAAAATTTCCAGCAACCAAAACCATATACAACACCTCTTGTAGCGGCTTGTTCGTCATCAGATCTTCACCGGCTAGGATCATCGAATTGATGCTGGGTTCTAAGTAGCTCATATTAGCAGCGAATTCTTCCTTCAGCAGCATACATTCTATACGCAACTTGTAGCTGCCGGGGCACGAGATAAGTAAGAACCGATTAAACACCTTCCTCAGCGTCGATCAAACTAATGATTTCCTGTCCTTACTTCGGTACTTGAACGAGTTGCAAAAAAAATTTCTCGGCGTTTCCGAGCTTCGACTTGTCACCGTCGAAGCTTTTGAGCATCTCTAGTTCGTCCACCTCGGGCAAAATTTTCAGAAGACCACGCAACTTTTCTGCCCCGATGTCGTCGTGACTGCCATCCTTTATCAGCCGAATAATATCTTCGTTCGAACTGGAAATCGTTGTCAATTCGTACGTCTCTCGGTTAGATCGCGACAGGTTGCTTACCTTCGAAACTGCTTTAGAAATATATTCACGTTCAGACTCCTTTTGCCGTCGAGAAGCGCGATCTGAAACAAATCGAAACAAATCGAACGAAACGTGAAAGCAAGCTAGACGAAAACGAAATTGCAGGCTGCATGCGTGTATAAAAGAACAGCACCTCGGTCGGTTCCCTGCGTCGTCTTTCGGCGTCAGAGTTTGCTCCGTAGGAGGTACACGAGGCGGCTGGTAATATCGGTGGCACTTGCTGACAAAATAGCCCTTCCATTTCTGCCCAATCTATATCCGCCATAGGAGAGTTTTGATGTTCGTCGGCAACCAAGGACCAAATGTTACGTTTCCCTATCACCTGGACAAATGGAACGTCGAGTCGTAGACGTCGTCGACATATTCGTCGGTATGCAACGAAAAGGACTTTTTCGGGAACGAAGGGAAGATAAGAACAGAGGCGTCGACGTATACCTTGTGATTGGGTATCTTGTTCCAATTGATGGTTTTCATTTTAGCCTTGGGGGTGGGTATTTCCTGTTGCGGGAGCAATCTAGCGTGATTGTTCGGTGGCTCGGGGGTGGGTACTCGTGTGACCGGTAACGCGTGCAAGGGTGGCGGCATTGGCGGTGGCTCCATCGATGCATCAGCGTACGTTGCGTTGCCGGTGTAAAGAGGCGGAGGTGGAGGCGGCGGTAAAACGCGACTTTGATTCGACGAATTTGCAGCTGACGGATCAAAGGGAGCAGGAGGTGGTGGCGGGGGCGGTAAAGGTGGCAGAGGTAGCGCCGAATTGTTCACCGGCAACGATGTTTTTCGCGAGGTTCCACAGGTTTGTTCGGTACCTCGACAGTGACAGCAGAGATTCGTCTGAAAAGCGGATACTCGATACTCTTTCTTTTTCGCTTGGATTAGATGGAATGCTAGAGACAACGATCACCTGAAGACTAGGCGATCGCAACAACTTGGTGGCGTCTTCTCGATTCTCCAATAACGTGGCTCTATGGACCAGTGTCTCTGCCGTGTCCCACGCTAAATCGCTAGCAGCATCTTTGGGATCCAGCCGCAATAGATGTTGAAGAATGCTCAGAAATGGTATTTCTTGCGGAGTGTCCGCGATCTAAAATACAATATAGGCGGGACAGAAGGTTATCGTCGATCGTACTTAGAATTCGACGAACGTAGAAATTGCGGCGACGATATCGAGTTCTTACTTGTCCAAAAATCGCGTAAAAGACATCGACGTGGGAGGAGAGATCGATTCCAGGTGGTCCGTGGTTCGACAATTCCTCATCGGTTTCTCGTTGATCATCGAAGACATCGAGTTGCACTCTCAGATCCGGTGCGTGGCTTTTCCTGCAAGAATAATCGTCACCTTCCTGATCCGGGTACATTTTAAGCCCTTACGTAGCTGTTCGCTCTATTTTCGTCTCGCTCGACACACATGTTTCCTCGAGAATTTCTATTTCTCTATCCTAGCTCTTTCCCTTTTCCACGATTTCCCTGCATCTCCTCTCACTACGTATCAAGCTATCTCGTCTGATCGACTCTCTTTCGAAACAGCTGCTTCGAGATAAAGACGAAAACCCGATTTGCTCGAGTTCAATTGGCTTCGAATTCCATTTGAAACGAAGAAGATCGTACCGACGCGCCGGTATATCGCGTATCTACGTATCGTTTCCGCTACGAGATCGGTGTACACCGTTAAATCTTTGTTATCCGATATTATTTTTACGCGACAGAAACGTACGACATATGTACTGGTTGTATATTCTTCGCAAACGAAGGAGTGTAGGCACGCGTTCGATTTAACTCGTTAGAAGTGACAAACGCGTCAGGTTGGGGTGATGCGCTATCGAACCGAACAACGATAAATTCGCGATAAATCGAGCAAATCAAACTCGCCAAAATACGAAATCCGTCGTGCCTATTTCGATTACTCGGATAACGCGTGAACGTTAAAAGTGATCGTAGATTAATGTGGTTTACTCGGTTCACATGTACGGTGGGTTTCAGCTGCGCTGCGGATACAAGGATTTTTCTCTTCTCGATGCACTCTCGGTGTACAATGGGCACTGGTATTTCCGATCGTCCAGATGCCCGATCGCTTCGAATCGGGAAATAAAGTCGAGGATATCACTTTACACGGAACACCATGTTACGCGTATTGTCCGAAATGGTAACAGGTTCGGTGAATCGTTGTTTCACTCGCGGTCGATAGGCGACCACGCGTGCGTCTCGATTCGATAACGTCGTGCGCGTTACGCGAAAGGCGAAAGAAAACGCGAAACGATTATAAGTTGTGAAATTCTAAACAGTCCCGGCGAGTATGCGTGTAAATGTTGCGATGGATGGAGAAGTGCCACGGTGAGATCGCTCCAGCTTAGTCCGCCGGTTGCAGTTATAGCCGCATCTCATCGCGACGCGAGCTTACTCGCGGAGAGTTAATTCGGGCTTTTCTCTCTCCCTTCGAGCCACGTATTTCGGTTCCTCCTTTTTTTTCCTCGCTCTTCTCCGTTTTGCGCCAACTTTCTTTCGCTTTTGCACGCGATTTCTCTCTCTCTCTCTCTCTCTCTCTCTCCCTCTCTTCCCTTTCCACCTTTGTCTTCTTTTCGCTTATTCAAGCTTTCTTCAATAGGATCGTCATTCGATCGCGAGGAGAATGATTGACTCGAATTTACGAGGAATTTTGGAAAGGAAGACGAATAAAAGGCAAAGAGACGAACTGTGGATCGCATGAGCGTCGAATGCGTACGTGCATAGGTATACACGCGTACACGTACGTAATAGTCTCGATGAACAACCCGACAATTTCCTCGTTTCGTCGCATCTCTGTATTACATACTTATTACCGGATTCCCGTTACATCACCTTACGACGCGACAGTGGATACGGTCTTAAAGGATGAGAGAGCTGGAGAGGAATTCGAAGCGAAGTGGACGAAAGGGGCGCGAGAAAGGGATGGCCGTTGAGGCGCGATCTCGTCTGGACGAAACGCCAAAGCCCGATGGATATCGCGTGCGTATCGCGATCGGATTTTATCCTTTTATCGTAAATTCCCGCGTACAATTCTCTCGAACGATATTTAAAGCGACTTCCACGATTGGTTTTGCTCGATCAAGAATAGTTTGTCCGTCCGTCATCCCGTGGAGGAATGACAGATCGTACTATTCCTGTAGAGAGATAGCTAAACAGAAAGGACAAAACCTAGAGTCTGTGATTCGCGTATCGTGATTCGACGCGAATAGTCGTAATTCCAGCCATGGTTTTGTCGCGCTTTCGCCGCTTTGCTCGATCGCGATTAAACGATCCTCGACGATAACGCGTATCGCAACAGCGAGGGAGGACGATGATCGTTAGAAGAACGTTAGATCCGAAGCTAGATGCCGCGCTACGTCTTCTTGGAACGTGTAAACGCGATGGCGGAAAACCGATATCGTACCGATTGCGCGTGGAATACGGCTGCACGAACACGATGATTGGATTAGTGCATGCAATTGTCGTGTATCGTATAGGCTGAATGAATGCCTGCTTCGTTAGTCAACCAATCCTCGATAGAATCGTTTAATAATTCTGGCCAGTTGCGTACGACGCGACGCTCGATGCATGCGCGATATTAACGTTGCATTAGGTGCAAATGAGAAGGTGTGGGTACAATAAAGCGCCCTTTCGTAACGTTCATTATTATTTATTATTCAACGATGTTAAGGTGTTAATCAGTTAATGTCATAAATCCAGGTCGTCGTACAGTACTCACCGCAGCTCGTTCAAAATCGGAAGAAGCTTCAAACCTGCAAGCGAGAGGAATACGCAATATTAAGCCATTGTTTTCCTAGACGTTGCTTCTCTCTAGATGCACACGGAGAAACATTTTCTCCTTTTTCCTTTCTCAAGACGACGCTCGGCATCGAAATGTTTAAAAAGTTTGGAAAATATCGATCGTTACTAACCGATGAACTCGTTGCGAATTCTTATGCGATCCTTCAGCACTGAGGTAGAGATGACTAAACAGTTTATGAATGCCAATAGCGCAGTCCTATAGTCTTCGGCAGTCGCGTTCTGCAACTCTTCCACCACGATTCGCAATCGATACCGTTCGTTTTTTCGTTTCTGGAACGTATCATCGAACGTTAATTTCTCGATTATTGGAACTGTGAGAAATGTAGAAAAAAAAAAAAAAAGAGAAAAAGAGACAAGGAGGGAAAGAAAATGCCAGGTTCTACGTGTTCTTTGCGATTAACGCGTTCGCGTATTCATTAGCTCGAGCGTCGCGATTTCCGAGATTTTCACGTGCAACGACGTAAGAAATTGGCTCGCGATAAGAAATCGTATACTTTGCAAAGTATTTCGTAAGGTGAAACATCATTGGCGTAGCGTAGAATGGCATGGCATGTCGTGTCACGGTATGGCACGGTGTAGCTCGATGGTGTCGCGAACACGAAGCTTCGAAGTAGCGATACCGCCGTATATTGTTCTTTTGTTTGTCGAAGAAAGACCTTGAACTGTGACTTTTACACAAGCTTAGCCCGCGGCTTTGCGTTCTATGTTCCTACGTATCGAACAGGTACAGCAACCTTGCATTTAAACGCTACCTGATACCTCTGCGCTAAAAATTGCGGTTCCTTGCGGTAATGTGTACTTTATTACTCTGCGACCGATCGATCAATCGATCGATCGATCCTTGTTCGAATTCGTTGCTCAAGTTCGATCACCTGATACGCGTGAAGAGTATCGATAGCTCTCTGTCTTCCATCCTGACTGTAAACGCACAGCGCCGAAAGCAATTCTACCACTTGCTTCTTGACTGAGGGACAAGCGGTGTCCAAGGCTGAAATTCAACGAGATACGCGATTAATAGGATGCAGTCGGAGCCGGTTACCCGACATTCGAGCTATCGAGAACGTTGAATAATTTTACCCGAGGCAAGCTTGACGCAGTAATCGGGATTATCCACGATATAGTCAAGACCAACGTGGGAATCCATATTGACTGCATTTGGAAAATGCTGCGCTCCGAATCTGAAACAAACGCAAAACGTCGTTTTATTGCGATTGCTCGATATGTATACATAATATAACAAACTAATGGCTACTATGACAAATCACCTAATGCGTCTTCTACTGAACTTTTCTTACCGCGATCCACGACGTACCATCGTGAGGGTACAGGCTACGGATCTACGGATCGATGATCTAATGAGATCTCGGCGAATAATTTCCCTATCGTTACATCAAGCGTTACGGATCATTCTTGCCAAAGGGTCTCACAAATCCACCACACTTTTTACGCGATCGCTTGAATTTTTGTTAACATAATAAAACGAGGTCTAGGTTGAGCGTCAACGTGTCGCTCTTCTTTTGTATGCGGGTCACGTAAATACGCACGTGCGACTAAACTGCGAGCAGAGTCGAAGAGGAAAGGGAAAAAAAGAGAGGAAATGTCATCTTTTGATTTTTAACGAGCATCGAAGCGATTCTTTGAAATGGCGACAACGTTCGTCATTGGAACGATCGTGTCTTTAAAGGAAACGTTACGATCGAGATTCGTCGTTCCGTTCGACGTTGGGTGAATATATACGTGTGTATACATCATAGAAGTAAGAGAACAACGAGACCGATGCGAGAAGGTGTCGCTGTTCGGAAAATGAAATCTTCCGCTTCGGAAGACCGTGAACATAGAAATACAAAATACATTGGAGGGCATGAGAAAAGGAAGAGAGATCATGGTCGAAGAGAAGAGAAGAGAAGAGAAGAGAAGAGAAGAGAAGAGAAGAGAAGAGAAGGAAAAGGAAAGGAGAAGAGAGAGAAGGAGAAAAGAGGTGGAAAGAAGAAGAGGGGTGAAGAGGCGTGAAAGAGTAAGAGTGAAAGGGCGAGAGAGGAAGAGCG